AAGACCACTTGGGAGGTGAGTGGAAGCTCAGCTCCCTTGCTCCACATCACTTATAGAACAACTGTTTTACAATCTCATGAAAGGTCGTAGCATTGCCAGAGTCACATGATGCTGTCATCCACTTCTACTGTACCCCAGAGCTCAGCTAGAAGCCTTTTGAGGGCTCCAAAAAAGGAGTGATAAAAAGCTAGCCCAAGTGTGGTCTGCAGAACGAATGTGCATGCAGAGCACAGGTAGTTAAGTCCAACTGGTGCCAATGGGGCCGCACCAGCAGTTGCCTCTTTTGGTCTTATTTTGGTTTTTCTTTCCAATGATCCAAGTAGAGGTATCAGAGAAGGTTAGGCATAATTAAATTGATCCGGTTTTGAATCAGAAACTGAATATCTTTAAAAAAATAAGCTTTGGAAGTCCATCCTATAAGAACTTTCCCCAGAGAAAGAACCGTCTTTTTATCCTTCTCTTTACCAGATGGTGTCCTTGGAGCATGGGAAGCATCACTGTCAGGGCATGATCTAGAAGCTTCTTGATTTAGCCATCCTAACACAGGTTTGACGTCCTTGGAGAAGTAGGTTCAGCTCTTGTCTGAGTGTCCACTGTTGTACAGAATAGACTGAGTGCTCACCTGCTGCCTTCTCATTTTTTTCTCCACCATGAAAACCTTGGCATGAGAACGGTTTCACAGGAGGTGGAGAGGATAGTGGACCCACGCCCAGGCTTCCTGAAGAGACCTGTGCTGGGAGGCCATGGTGCACTGGCTGTGGGCGTTCAGAGTCAGAGCAGCCAGGGCCTTCCCTTTGCTCAAGCTGCCAGGGCACCATTTCCTCATGACAGACTAGGTGGTTTTGTGTGTTTTGCCTATTTTTGTTTTACCTTTGGATTGTTGTTTCCTACCACTTGATGTCTATAAGACACCACATTTGGACCTAGTTGACAACATTTCTGGGTCAAAATCATTTGTCTTTTGGATGGTTGTTGCTTTTGCAGCCTTAAGCAGGAGTGTCCAGATACAGTTCTTGTAGCACAACATTCAACTTTGGGTAACAGAAGAATGTTCCTGCTGCAGACTTAGCTCAGAATCTGATTTAATGGGAAATGTAGAGATCCAAGTACCAGAAATGAGAATAGGCAAGCCTCTGTGAAGTTTTGTGAAACTCCTTTTTAGGGTGGCATACAGAGATCCAAGGTACACATATGTGCAGTTCTGATCAAAAATAAATATTCAGGAACCAGGTCATTGTTCCAGATTTTAAACAGTTAAACTTCCTTCTAAATATTAGGAACCAAGCATACCTTTGATATGGCAAAATTTTAAACTTATCTTTAATTACTGTTTTACTTGTTAATATTTGCATTTTCCTTAACTCATTTAGATATTAGAGCGTATGAGTTCATATATTTATAAAATTTTAGTTAGTGTTTATAAAATGCAATTTTGATTGCCTGTCAAGTCCCCCAGCCCCATATTCCAAGAAAAACAAAGAGCAGACTAAAAAATGAGCTGATTTTTATCAGTTAAAAATTATGGAAAAGTCCTTCTATTTGATAATGGAGGCTGATTTTCTTTTGGCAGCTGCTTTCCCTTGTAGGGGCTAAAAACTAGAAACAGAGTTTTAAACAAAGTGTGTAACTGAAGTAGATTTTACCTGGTTCTATGGTTAAAGTCATTCAGAACTACATTACAAACCATAAACTCATATTATTGGTTTTATACTTGAAATATATATGAATTTTTGGGCTGTATATATTATATACCATTTAAAACCTTCTTTTCTATATGATAGAAATACATATTAACATTTTATAAATTTCTGACATTTTCACATATTACTATACTCACAAAAACATTTTGCCAAAAATTATTAAAAAGATCTATGATATTGTTTATGTGCTCAGGTAATACTTCTTAAACTGCCAAACTTATAAAAGCTGCATGGAAATAAAACAATTATTCTGTAAAGTTTCACTAGAGAGTTGTTATATATGAACATTTGAAATTCCGTGCTATCTTATTGGGTGTGAGATAGTTCTCTTGTCCAAGATCTTTCCGGCAAAACCCTGCTGCTACCACTGTCATTCTGATAAATGACAGTACCAGTGGTGGCACCAGCAGCAGCACTTTGGTCTCTGCCTGTGGATTCCTGGGGGCAGAGCTTGCTCAGTGAGCTGTCTCTGTCTTCACCTACTCAGCAGACTTCCTATCATGCCAGTCATAATATGTGCTACTGAGAGCTGCCAAACAGATGCAAAGACACTCAAGGAAAGAATATGCCATTTCTGGAATATTGTTGCTCGGATTTGTTCGTTTTCAGAACGGTATTGGTGTTGTCACATGGATGCCTTTTCATGAGGGCTGGAAACCCATTTGACACATTTTGCATTGGTGGTTTAAGACCCAAAACAGTTGGTCAAGATAGAGCTTGCTTTCTACTTGTGTAGATGGAGTCTGTGAAGACTGTTGTTCCAGGGCCAGTGTGGCTGTCCTGTTGACTCTTCTAGCAGGTAAATGGCTGTCAAGTTTGCCTTAGAATCATCAACAGTGGCTGAAACTCCAACATCTTACCCAAGTTCCTGGAGGCAAGGGCAAGACGGAATGAGCATAGTTACAACTTGACCCTTAAACTGTTCCCAAAATTCCCATTCAACATTTTTTACTTCTCTATATTGATCACTCCTATAAATAAGCAAGGCTGGGAAATGCAGCTTTATGGCTGGAATATGCCATTTCTGAGTATAGAGGTTTGGCTGTCAAGGAGGGGTGAGTGAACTTTGGAGAGGCAGCATTTGCTTCTGATCTATGTCTTTCCGTCATGTGCTCACCAAATCATATGCTGTATTATACATTTCCTGACTTATGTGTATTATGAGTAATGAAACTTTAAGGAGCTATTTATAAGGAATTTTTTTTAGGGCTGTGGTTAGAGCTCAGTGTTAGAGTACTTGCCTTACCTCTTACCCTTGGTGCCAGGAATTTGGGTGAGATGGCTGAAACTTCAGCAGCTATTAATGACTCTGAGGCAAATTTTTTAGGATCTATACAATGTAAAAATAAAGAAATGAAGTAGTGGTTCCCAGTTCTAAGAAATGCGCCCACTCCATTTCTTTATGATTGGTTATAATTATAATTATGCATAATAGTGGATTCATTATGCCATATTCATATATGCACGCAACATAATTTGATACAGTTTTGGTTTTAACACTTTTTTGTGTGTGTCCTGGTGATGGCACTTGAACCTGGAGCCTCACTCATGCAATGATTGTACCATTGAGCTACAATCCCAGCCTTAACATATTTTGTTTTGATTGTCACTGAGTGATTGACATGGTTCATTTTTACTCTGTTGTCTTCAGCTGGACTTGTTTTCTCTTAAAATTTGTTATAAGGATGTATTAGATTTACTTTAAATCATGAAACCTTCATAGGGTAAAATCAACACTTCTAACAAAGGTTTCAAATGCACGTTATGAAAAATAAACACATGATGGGCTTGATGACTTAAGCCTGTAATCCCAATGACTTAGGATGCTGAAGCAGGAAGATCACAACTTCTAGACCAGCCTCAGCAACTTAGTGAGACATTGTCTCAAAATAAGAAATAAAAAGGTCAGGATATGTAGCTCAGTGGCAAAGTACCCCAGACTCAATCCTTAGTACTGCAAATACAAAACAAAACACAACAACAAAACATTTTTCTTCCCTGTACAGTCACACCTCTAAGAGTTAAGGAACAGGTTAGGCAGTTCCAGAGGCCTCCTGTGCCACTAGCAGAGCCTGTTCCCTCCACACTCCTGCGTGTGTTCCCCTTTAACTAGAGACACAGGTTTCCAGCTGGGGAGGTTTCAGAGAAGAGAGACCTAGATAGACCTTGGTGGAGAGGATTGCTCTAGGCACCCTCTGTCTCACAGCCTGGGTGCTCCCTTTACCACATGTCCTTTGTGTTGTCTTCTGGAGTCATTTTTTCTCTACTATCTCTGGCATAATTACTCATAAATCTTAAGATCATTCGTAAATATGAAGACCACATAATTCTTTTCTTTCCATACTCCACCCTCCCCTTTTAAAATTTCTTCTATTAATTCAAATGCTTTTGTTTGATTATAGTTTGATAATTAACAGCTGTAATTTAACACTGAAATCTCTTTTTTAAAAAAAGACATTTTAATCAAAATTACCTGAAGTTAATAAACCAATTATAATGGCATTTTTAGTTTTCTTTTTATTTTGTGGAGTAAAGTTGCTATTCGAGCAAAATTGCTGTCAGAAAATTTCATTACATATTCTTTGCCTATTGTTAGATTATTGATTATTTTTTAAACTAAGGTTTCAAGATTCAATGTTAAAATTTTTGTGATGTTTGTGATGATCTGTTGTGTTCTATAATAATTTCTCAAGAGAAAATTCTCACTTTTAAAATTCATAGATATCCCGGCAATGCAACTTTGGTTTGCTGATTCATATTACTTAAGGCAAATAGTATCTTTATATATTAAGAATAGAATCTATTATGATGTTCATGATAATGAATCTTAATGTAACTTGGTGTTACAACATTTGATTGTGTGGTATTAATGGATCATGGATGGATTCTTTTAAAGTCTATCTGATTGTATATAAAATATGCTGTTGTATGATTATATGTGAATATGTGCGTGTGTGTGCACGTGTGCGTGCACGCATGTGTATGTACCTGAGGGCACCATCTACAGCCCAGCCTGGACATAGCCACTGGTGTTGAATAATCACATGTTCACTTTTTGGGCAGGTGAGCCAAGATGGAAAGTCACTTCTTGACAAGCTCCAGAGGCCCTTGACTCCTGGCAGCTCTGACTCCCTAACGGCCTCTGCCAACTACTCCAAGGCTGTGCACCATGTCCTGGATGTCATCCATGAGGTGCTGCACCATCAACGGCAGCTTGAGAACATCTGGCAACACCGCAAAGTCCGGCTGCACCAGAGGCTGCAGCTGTGTGTTTTCCAGCAGGACGTTCAACAGGTGGGTTTCAGGTCACACCCTTCTCATGGGGAATGGCTTTTGCTGACTTGGTTTATTTGCGTGCACTGCCACGTTGGAATCATCTGTGCTGAGGAGTGGGCATGAGGACAGGTGCTTCTTTGTTGACTACCATTGTGTGCACCTGCAGACTACTCGTAACTGCTCTCTCCTATGCAGTGGACACATGAGGTACTGTGCAGCTGGCACTAGAGTATCTGTGGCTTTTGCTGCCCAAAACAGCCCATTCACAGTTTTGTATTTATTTGGAGAATAATGCTGGTGGTGTATATGCTGGTGTATTCTTTTTTTTTTTTTTTTTCAGTTGTAGTTGGACACAGTATATCTTATTTATTTATTTTTATGTGGTGCTGAGGATCAAACCCAGGGCCTCACACATGCTAGGCGAGTGCCCTACCCCTGAGCCACAATCCCAGCCTCTATGCTGGTATATTCTAAGGTTTGTTTAGGTTTGCCTGCTCTTTGGTTACTTGAACAATGAGGTTTTTGTTCTGATTTAGTGTTTAGTGTGGTTCATAATGCACAGTAGTTCTTCATTAGTTGTCATTAATGAAAAGTGGACTCCCATGACTGTTCATTTCTAAGGGGTAAACATCTGTTTTGTTGTAAAAATAAAAGTAAGTCCATGTCACCATCCTAATTGTGTACTTATTGCAGGTTTTAGGGACAAAGCTGTGGGTATGCATTATGATATGGCTTCAGTGATGAATAAGAGAGCAATCACATCCTTACTCTAAAGTAGAGAAATAGAGGGGTAAACAAGGTGCCAACTCTGGGGATGAGGAATTCTGGGGTTTGCAGGGACACCTGTGATCTAGGAAGTTGGCCTGAAGCAGTGGTGTGTCTGGAGGGGAAACACTCTCTTTTCCCTGGCCGTTTGCAAGCCATTGTGCATGGTTCAGGCACATAGGATCTCAGATCTCCATCTCCCTAGGAATTGTCTGAAGGTTGATGGGTTTTCTGCCGAGTGGACTGGGATTGGAAAATCATGCTGCTTTCTGATGAACACAAGATCCTCCCTGTCATTTGTCACCATTCTTCACTTAATATGAATCTGATGAGTTCAAGATACTTTTTTTATGGCTCCGTCATTTGTAATTTGTGCAAACTAGGCTTTGCTTCTAATTTTGCTTTTTAAGTTCTCTGAAGGTTACATATGCAAAGTGCCTCAGGAACAGTTGTTTTGATATTATGCTTCTTAACAATGTCGTTTTTAGCCCAAGAAGCTAATTACTAGGGAAAGAATACAGAGCAGGGAGAGAAGGAGGTGGAGCCAATGTCCTGGAGGGGTTATTGAGAGAATGGCAATCATAAGGTAGAAAGAACATATGTTATTTTTACTGAAATTTGTTTGAAAACTTTTATAAACCAGAAAATGTTAATAGTTCAAATATAATTATTAAAGGATTTTCCCATCTGCCTCATAAGCGTTGGCTTGGTGTCCTGACTATCCATGGAATGATGCACTGAAGGGAACCCATTTTCCTACCTGGAGAAGCAGCAGTGGGTACCCACCTTTACCATGGCTTTTGAGGCATCAGTGGCATGAGAGTAAGTCACTGGACTGTGTAGGGTAGGGGAAGACACAGGAAAGTAAGACTTCTAGAAGAGGCTTAGAAGCCTGGCCATCTAAGTTGGCACCTGAACTTTAATATGCTTGAACTTGAAAGCTGCAAACATTATTTGGAAAGGTAATTATGATAATTATGAGACCAGTTCTTCAAGGCAGCTTTTCCCCCTCAAGAACAGGACCTTAGGTTGGATGTCAGTGGGAGGAGAGCATAATGTTCCTGTTAGCATTCCGCAGAAAGTAGATTTCACCATTGAGGGAAATATTTTTTATTGATTAATGATCTGGACTTGTTTGGACTTGTTATGAAATCAGGAAATGGCTATTGTAGGCTTGACGTGTGAAACAAAGTGCAAAACTGATAAGATTAATCAAAGCAAAACACAATATAATGTCAAAACCAGAAAGGTATTTCTGAAGCTCAAGGAATTAATAAGAGGTAGTAAATAGGAGAGGTAAGCTGAGTATAAATGAACAAAGTGGTAATGCTTTAGAAAGATATATCAGCAAAATGTATTTTTGTCAAGATAAAAATAATCTAAATCTGCAAAAATGTAATAAGCCAGTTAGAGATATCATAAATATTTTTTGATTGTTTTGGGTAATGCAAAAGTATCTGGAGAATTAAAAAAAAGTATCTGTAAATATCATTGAGAAATAAAGAAGTACTGAGCAGTAGGCATGGCATGATTGCAATTTGATGAAGATAGCCATTTGATGAGAAATACTGGAAAGACATATTTCATAGTGTTCATAGTATAGTGCTCCAGGGAGGCTGTAGGCAGGGGCCAGGCAAGGGAGAATGCTGTATGGAGTCCTATTTTAAAACATGTTAGTTTTGGTGTGGTGGTTAATTTTTCATAATCTCTGTACAGAAAGAGTTGTTTCTGGCAGTCAGAGGTGAGAGTAGAGAAGTAATGGAGGCTGCTGTTTCATAATGCTTATCTTGCTCAGACCCCAGTGGGTGAGGAGTGGGAGGCCTTGCTGCAGACTCACCCAGTGTACATGATGTAGTGCTAGCAGACTCATAGCCTCCTTGCCACGTGTCCTTATGACCTCCCACTGTGCTTTCTTGTGTGCTTACTGTTAGAGTAGCCCCCTGAATGCTTGGTGAATAAACAGGGCAACCATTGTGTTCCAGCTTAGCTGGGTGTTTAGCTCGGCATATGCTTTAGTTTACTATGGGAATGTAATTTGTTTTTGCTGCATGTACTTGTTCAGGTGTAGTAATAGTCATGGTAGTAGTCCAAAGCAGGATGCTCTCAGACTTGTTTTCCTGCCTCGCCTGTCCTGCTTGCCTGGCTTTTCTTGGAGAGTTGGGATTGAATTACTCCAACACAGCAGAGAGGTGACTGGCTCCATAAAAGTCATCTTTCCTGATGCAGGTAGACTCACCAACAGAAGCTGCCCAGGCAGGGAGACCTCTTTTGAAAAGCTTCCCATTTTCACCCAGCAGCCCTACCTATATGAGCTCCACCCCTGTGGAATTCCCTCTTGGAACAACTCCGTGCAGGTTGGTGTTGGACCATTAACTGATATTCTTAAAACAGGATCAAGAAGCCTGGCCTAGTGATGCATGTCTGCAGGCTCAGCTACTTTGGAGGCTGAGGTCAGAGGATGACTTGAGCCCAGGAATTCAAGACCAGCCTGAACAATATAGCAAGACCCCTTCTCAAAAACAGAAAAATTTTATAAAATGATCAAGCAAATATGGTCCACCCTAGATTCTTCCTGTCCACATCTTTTTTTTTAATATCTTAATTGAATGTGTGGTGCTCTGAGAGGGACAGAGTTAAATGTGTCAGACAGCTCCAAGATCCTTCTCTCAAGGAATTTATAGTCTAATAAAAGCTGTTTTTTTTAAAAAAAAATCGGATGACTTAATGTTCTAATAAATTAGACCATAACATGTTTGGATGTAGTATTCCCATCTTTGGTCATTTGGCTTTAATTCTGCCAAGGCATATGTTTGAGTCATGTCTGTCAAGTTGCTATCAGCAGTGAGGCATAAATAAAAACAGCCACTTCATCCATGTTATCCACCTACCTTGCATATGTGTTGGAGGGCACACATCTACACTTTAGTGATCTGTACAAATTTGGGCATTTCCAAGAATTTTGCCTCTATTCTTACCAAACCTCAAGTAGCTAGTGTAAAAGGTTAAATGAAAGCTCTATGGTAAAGGCACAAGGAACAGTTGTCATGGGGAAGGAAATATGAGGAAAGTCTTCATGGAAGAGGTAGCTTCTGAGCTGCTCTTGGAAGGCTGCAAAGACAGTCAGTCGTTGGAGGAATGGCCAATAGGAATAACAATGAGAGCAGGGACAGGAGCAGACAGGGGCTGTCTTAAGGGCTTCAGGCGCAGAGTGTGCTTGGAAGAGAGGGCATGGAGGAAGAGATAAGACGTGGCCCCTGCTACCAAGCACTGGGCTTGTTTCTGTAAGCTTTAGGAGACAACATTGAAGGACACAGCCTAACCCACACTGAATACCACTGCATTGGTGCCAGGGCTGAATGTATGGGTGAGGTGGGAAGTGAAGGGCTATTGGCCTGATCTGGAGCACAGGTTGGTTCTTCCTGGGTGCTGACCATCACATTTCCTTCCTCTTCCTGCTCACAGGCAGCCTGTTGAGGAGTCAAGTCAGTGCTTCTCCATGCTTCACATCAGCCCCACACCTTGATGCGCATCGATGCTGTACATTCTGACATGCTGCTATAGGCAGTGAGGGTAGAAGGCACCCTCCTCCCTGCCTCAGAAAAATTGCTCTGGTCACTGTGTGAGGAATGAATTGGAAGAAGCTAACCCAGAGACCAGGAGCCATTAGGTTTCCAAGCAGACATTCATGCAGATCGCTGGTGCATCTAGAAGAGCAGAGCTTCAGGTCCATGGGGTGGCCAGCAGCATTGTATTCACTGGGGTTTCCCAAGTGTCTGGAATGGTGGATGCTCAGAAATATGGCAGTTTTGCCAATTAAAGAGTCTTTTGGGTCAAAAGTTTCTATTTTTAGTCTGGAATGGTTGGGGAGAACCGGCCTTCTGTTGAAATAAAGTACTTGGAGAGATTTGTCTGAAGGAATGGAAGCTTTGATTGTGTTAAAAGAATTAGGGGCATCTGTCAAGGAAGGGATAATTTCAGTGCATAGGAATTTTGGAAGCTTGGTGAGATCTGTAGTAATTTTGGTTATTTGAATGCAAAATTAGTTTTTAATGCTGAATTCCAGCAGTAGGAGGAAGTCAGGATCTGCCTAAGAGGCAAGAGATTGCAGGTGTAAAGGGAAGCTGCTGCATAGCTTTAGTGTGGGTTCTAGCCGCTGGCCTTTAGCCAGTGAAAGCCATTTCTGCACTTTCTCCACTGCACTTCTTGAGTTTAAATGAGGAGCAAGAATTCTCCTCCCACCCACCAGAGTCAGTGGACAGCCTAACCATTGCACATTCTCTCTTGCTGTGTTCCCACACTGGCAATTTTGCTGGTGTCTCTTGTAGGTATTTTGGTTCTCTGTCACACTTGTGGTGTATAACTTGCCCGAGGTACTTTTAAAAATAACTTCTTTCTCCCAAGTAAATACCAGGCTTGGTATGCTTTGTCATGTCCTCTCAATCATATTTATAAAACATCTTTCCACATTAAAAACATTTGCTTGTATTTGTAGAACAGACTAATTCTGATTTCAAAAATCCAATGAGCAAATGGATGGAGAGAGTTTGGCTGCTGTGACAAGAACTGAAGAGCTTTGGTGGAGAGCACCTTGTCACTGCCAGCTCTGAGTGCCAACTCTAAAATGACATTGCTTTCTCCCTCAGTCCTTCAAAGCCCATGGGGCATGTTGAGTTCTGTCTTCTTCATTTTATTTTTAAAAGTTATGTCATGCACACCATTGGGTTTGGAACTAGAACCCTTCACTTTCCAGGTAATAAAACCAAGCCTGAGAAAAGTCAGGGACTTGGCTGAAGTTCCAAGAAGTTCTGTGGTGTTTTTACTACTTCACCATTCTGAGAGGATACTTAGCTTCTGAGCTACTCAGAGTGTAAAATCAACATGTCACTTAAGAAGGAACCTTTCAGGGGTCCTTTTCAGGCTGGGGCAAAGCTTGCAAACCGCAGCTGCCCCCTAATGTGAAGAGCTACAGCAATGTGAAGAGTGCTGGAGTTCAGTCCCTGAGGCCGATTCATGGAAAAGGAAGCGTACAAGAAGAGCTCCTTGCTGACTTCTGGCCTCTGCATCTGCCAGCCTACTGTCCACAGCTGCTGCTGCAGACCTTGCTGGACCCAGGCAGCTGCTCACTTGAAGTGAAGGATTGGTGCCCAGGTCATGCTGGAAGAGGGAGGAAATAATCAAGACAGTGCTTTCTGAATAATCAAGACAGTGCTCAGAGAGCTGGGGAGAAAAACTCTCTGCCCACTTAAGATAGGATGAGTATGTGGGTTCCAGGAATTTAAACTCAAAAGTCTTTTTACTCTTCAAGTCTCATTCATGATTTTTACTTTAATACCATAATATTGGATATCCTCACAACAATGCTAAACACCAGTCTTTAATAAAAATTAACATTATCTAAGTGAAACTTCTCCTTCTTGGACACCTACTTATATTTAGCAAATCTGAAGTAATGTTGCTTTGCACATCAGTCATCCTTTGTTATATCTTTAAAATATCATTGATTTGTAATCAAGAAAGCTCCAAATGCAATGCATCCATTTTTAGATTGGTTTCAAGTCAACAGTGGTTGAACAAGGAAGTAACTAAAATACATGAAGCCAGGTTATTAATTTGGGTTTTAAACAGAGCGTAGAGTGGTCAGGGAGGACATCCATATTTTGTAACTGGAAAAAAAAAAAATCTGATTTTTGTAAAAAGGAGAAATTTATAGTATTTTAGAATTACTTTGTTTTTCATTGGCTTTCTATAGTTTTGAAATTGAATATAGGATCAGGGGAGCTTTTCGTTTTATTTTTATGTACATAAAATGTGACTTAAAAAGGGCTCTTTTTGTTGTTATTGTTTTGTTTTTTGTGGTGCTAGGGATTGAACCCAGGGCCTTGTACATGCTGGGCAAGCACTCTACCAGCTGAGCTATATACCCAGCCCAAGGGCTTTTGTTAATGAGACAGAAAATCCTATAACTTATTCAATATGTATTGTCTCTTTAAATGGTAATTAAGATTGACAAGTATTTGTATGTTTTCTCTGGATGATCTTTGGATCCAGAGTTACCAATAAAAATAGATTAGCTTAATGTGCTCTTGGTTGTTTTATATCATATTTCTTATTTTTTTGTTTCGTTTCTTTTTTTTTTTTTTTTTTTTACAAATGGCAATCCTAGAGATGGAACTCTAATCTTAGAGGTGTGCTATTTGCAAATTTGGGTTGAGTCTGGAAAATAACGGTTGGCATTGAAAAGGCCTACATTTGGGTCTCTTTTCTTGAGCAGGCTAACTTCCCTGAGTCTTAATTTCTGGCTTAAAGAGGACAATAATAAAAGTCTGTTCTATTTTATTTGTAACCCTGGGGGATAGATATGATTTGGAATTCAAGATGTTTAAAAATTTAGAAGGTAGCAAGGTATATGACTTGTGGTGCTCCTCGTGGAGTCTGGGCAGCACCTACCCCCACCCCCATAAAGAAATGCATGTACTATCTCCAAAGCCAAATGTACAGTAACCCACACTAAAGGTTATTAATACCCTTAGATCAAGTTTTTTGCCAAGTAAATTTTGGAAACAATTTTTGGAAAAAATTTCACAGCTTTTTGTGAAAGAATTGTGTGTGTCCCTATTATCCTCTCAAGCATAGGACAGAATAATGACTCAATAATTGACATGAAATCATTGGGAATAATACATTACATGTTGATGACAGAAAATTGCCCTAGTGGGGCTGGGTTGTGGCTCAGTGGTAGAGTGCTTGCCTGGTACGTGTGAGGCACTGGATTCCATCCTCAGCACCACGTAAAAATAAGTAAATAAATAAAATAAAGGTATTGTGTCCATCTACAACTAAAAAAATATTTTTTAAAAACTGCTCTAGTAGTATTTTAAATAATAAGCAGCTATGTATTTTGAAGAAAAAACATGATGCATTGCATTGGTCTTCATAGAGCATGTTGTTATGAGGTGGGCTTTGTGAAAATATCTTTCAAGAGGGGTTAGTGTTTGTGTATAAGTTCTTAAAATAATAATAATTAGGAATATCAATCCTCCAAACATGGTGGATATCAGGTAGGGGAGCCTTATTACTGAAAGGTGTTTCAGAAAGGTTATACAAGATGGCCACAAACCTGCCACTTGCAGGGGGAGGATAAGTACTTGTCCAGTCCTGGGTGTTTCATAGAAAATTGTGAGTGCTAGCTGGTTTGCTCTCACCTAGGTTTGCTCACCATTATCACAGTGTCATCTCCCCAAAGGTTATCCCCTGTAGCCTAAGCTGTTCTGAAACCAAAATGGAGCTCTTTTCTTTCCTACCTTCTCATAACACTTATATGTCAGTTGTGCCAACTCAGAGAAGAGGCAGAATGTGCCTGATGCTAGAGCTTAAGAGAATGTGCCATAAGGTCAGGCTTCCTGGGTCCAAATCTGTAGACAGGCATCTCTCTGACATAACCCAGGACCCTCCATCCCATTGCCTCTGTAAGGTGAGAGTGGCATTTGTGCTTCCCTGTGGCTTACTGTGAGGATTGGCATAGCCTTAGGTCATGCCTGCTTCAATAGCAGGTGCTCAGGGGGCAAGGTAAGTATTATTTAATAAATGATGATTATCACACTTGCCATCATCACATTTCATCTTGTAGCTAGCTAGGGCTGTGATTTCCTTTTCATTAGAAATAGGAAATCAGACGTCACAATCTGCATGATTTCCTACACATCTGACATTTGACTTAAGTGTCTGTGTATTTTAAGTGTTGGCATTGAATCTTGGGGTGACCTTGACCTTGGGATTGTCATTTATGTCCATTAGAGGGCACCGAAGTACAGAGAGATGAGCTCACATTGGCTCCTCTGAACAGAGAAGGTAGTGTTGGTCTCCTAGCTTTTCTCTTCTGTCTCTGAGCCAGGTAACCACGGGCAGGGATCAGCGTTTGCTCTTTTCCTCAAATTTGGAAGGAAAGTAGCAAAACCCCTGCCAACCTTGTTCTTGGGGCTCAGGTCATAGCACACAGATGACAACCACTGGCTATGGATGGTATCGGAAAGGCAGATGTCTGAACAACAATGATAAATTTCCTTGACTTGCTAATCTTTTTATATTTTAAATTGAAGAGTTTCACAAGCATGTCTTTAAAACGGTATTTAGACAAATACATTGATTTAGGATCTTCTGTCAATCTGGGAAATCATCAGATTTGCTACTCATTGGGTTTTTTTTTTTTTTAAATTAAAGAATATACAGAATATACTGTATGGTTTTTCAAAGTCTCCGTATCCTTCCATGAAGATCTTATGTGGTGTAAGCATGGGTGTTCTTATGTACTTCTAAATTCTTTTCATGTTTAAAATTCTTCATATTTACCTTGTGCATAGGGTTGGCCTCATGCCTAGAGGCAAAACATTCCACTAAATGCATTCGTTCTTGGAGGTGCAGCAGGTGTGAAGTTGTTGAAACATTTCATTGGGAGGGGAATGGGACCTCTATTTTATGCTGTCATATAAACAACTCAGCAGCTTTAGATCTGCCTGGAAGTCAGGTGGTGAATGTGACAATACCCAGGGATTCTCTTGCTGTGTTTGTAATCTCAAGAAAGAAAAATGGTGTGCAACATCCACTAGCTAAAAAAGCAATGGAACATGTATATCCTGTGCCATCAAGGAACCTAAAAATAGAAGGAAACTGGCCAGAGGTTCTGGATTATGGGTGGGGACAGCAAATGTGCCATGTATTTGCCTCACTCATATGAAGATGCTTTTCATGGAGTATTAAGTACTCACAACTCCCTGTGATTCTCACCATTGAGCAGGGAAGGGCAACAGAATCTGAGAGGATGAGGAACTTGCCCAGGAGCACACAATCAGGTTCTGTGTCTATGTGCAGGGGAGAGCAGAGCAAGGGACCCTTTTAGCAGCAGTGAACCTCTAGTTAA